CCCACGGGGCTGGCCGGGGGCACCTGGTCCGGCCGGAATGGGTGAGGGACTCCGGCGCTGCGTTCATTCTTCGCGAACCTTGCGCTCCCCACCCGGGCTCACAAGCTCACCGAAGCGCTGCGCGTACCCCTAGGACGCTTCCCGCACGGACGCCCTCAAGATGGCCCTGCAACCCTCTCACCACGAGACTCCCCCGTGGCCGTCCCTGCGAGTGACACTACAGAGTAGGGCCGTCCCTACTCGGCCCTACTCTGTGCACCGTGTACAGAGTGCCCACTGCCCGTGCCCCATCGTGCCCCCTCCAAGGTGGTTACCAGCGGCCACAGAGAAGCCCCCACTGGAGCCACAGTCACTGCGCACAATCCCCCAACCCTTCTCACCCCTCCTTTCCCTCCTTTCTCTTTTTTACCCCTCTTTCTGACCGGACAGTGCCCCCAGCCCTCCAGGGAACCCAGTCTGAGGCAAAGTCCACTCTCTAACCACCTTCTGCTCCCAGCGGCTCCGCGTGGCCGCACCCCAGAACATTCCTCATCTTATCTAGAGGGCACATCCGGCCCCCCAACACGCACACTCAGGCACTAAACTGTGGGCGCCCGCGCAGGAGCCGGGCTCTTCTAGCTTTCTCTGGGTGACCCGCCAGGTTTCAGCCGGTTTGGCCAGCCCCACGGGGCCTAGATATCGCACCCTGCGCCGGAGGGAGGGGTTTGTGGGTAGCCAGGGGCAAGACTCCTACTCTCTCCCAGAGCCCTGTACAGACCCCAACTGAGGCGGACCCATGGGAACATCCTCCACTCCCAGCCACAGGCCCGGATGTTAGCTGCTGCTTCTGCCACCCTTTCGTGAGGGTCTGGAAGCTGGGTGGGTACCCTCGGTGGGTGAGGGCCTGATACATTTTCAGAGGACTCGGGTGGATTTGGAGTTGGGCCGGGACCTATTTTCCTTTGCAATCCAGCGAGTGGACATTTCCCACTGTCTCCTACTGCTGGGTGCTAGCAGGGCTGCCAGGCCCGAGCTGGAGGGTAGGGTGGTCGCTTTGGTGCCAGACCCTGGGCTGAGGTCCAGTCTCCCTCCGCTGACCTCTCCAGGTGCGGGCCCACGTCCACCTGGGTCAGTGCTATCTCATTTCAGGATTTCTCAGGTCTCTCTGGGCCCCCTCCGCAGCCTCTTAATCATCCTGGCGGGTTTGTTTAAAATTTAGATTATTGGACTCCACCCCCGGAAAAAATGTGCAATTGGAATTTGAATCTCAGGAAGTATAGCCAGAAATCTACATTTTTAACACTTCTCCCAGAGTTTTTTGTTTGTTTCTCTTTTGTTGGGTGGGGGAGAAGATTCTGTCTTCTGAGGGAAGAGGTCTAGTTCCTGGAATGATTTAATTCTGCAGATGGGGAGAGCCACTGACCCCGCCACTGCTGGAGTGCTGGGCTCTGAGATGGTGGTGAGGGGCACAGCCATGAGCAGCTGCCAGGCTGCCCAGGGGAGAGCCAGGTGGGTGTGAGAAGTGGTGCAAAAGGGCAGAGGAGGAGGAGAGCAGTTCCACGACCAGGAAGGCTTCTTGGAGGAGGTGGTTTTTGAGCAGAGACTTCACTGAAATCTGAGGCAGAGGCAGGGAAAGGGTGTTCCAAGGGCAGGGAACAGTGTGAACGAAGATGTAGTGATGAGAAAGTTGAATTAATTTGCAGGGAGTAGCCAACAGGTTGGTGGTGCTGGAGTTGAAGCACTTGTTTCTGATGTGGACAGAAGCCAAGGGCCTTGTGTGATCTCTGCAAGCCACAGGGTCTAGGGTCTGTTGGTGACCTTAAGAGGTTTTGGAACAGAAGAGGGATCTTGCTGGGTGGAGGATAATGACCAGCAAGATTCCTGTGAGGGATCCCTCAGCATGCCTGGTGAGGGGGATCCTGAGGCTGGCCCCTGACGGACAGGAGGATTGCTTGTGGCCAGAAGTTCAAGACCAGCCTGGGCAACATATTGAGACCCTGTCTTTACAAAAAAAGGAAAAAAAAAAAAAAAAAGCCAGGCATGGTGGCGTGTACCTGTGGTCTCAGCTACTTGGGAGGCTGAGGTAGGAGGACCCCTTGTGCCTGGGAGTTCGAGGCTACCGTGACTTTGATCGCACCACTGCACTCCAGCCTGGGTGGATGAGACTTTGTCTCAAAAAAAAAAGAAAAGAAAGAAAGAGACTAACAATAGGGGGAAATGGAAGACATTGGAGTAAGAGGAGGATGTTGCTGTGGGCTGCAAGGGTCTTGGTAGCTTCTTCTAGAGAAGGCTTGTGTTCCTGATTGGGGGGCGGGGGTGCATCCCTTGTGGGCTCAGCAATCCAGCCCTGAGCATCTGGGTCCCATTACATAAATGTAGACATTGAGGTCTAGGTAGAAGGACTCACCAGGAGTCCTGTAATAGAGCTTGGCACTTGGGTCTCTTGACTCTCAGGGACTGGGTGTGAGGGAAGTGGGCTCCTTTTGACCCCTACCTGCAGTGCCTTTGGGAGGATGAGGGTCTCCCATTAGAGTTCTGAAAATGACCTGCACATTTTAGTGCCTTAGAAATCTGCTTGTTGGGGCCAGGTGTGGTGGCTCACGCCTGTAATCCCAGCACTTTGGGAGGCCGAGGCGGGCGGATCACAATGCAGGAGATCGAAACCATCCTGGCTAACATGGTGAAACCCCATCTCTACTAAAAATACAAAAAATTAGCTGGGCGTGGTGGCGGGCACCTGTAGTCCCAGCTACTGGGGAGGCTGAGGAGAATGACGTGAACCTGGGAGGCAGAGCTCGCAGTGAGCTGACATCACACCACTGCACTCCAGCCTGGGCGACAGAGTGAGACTCCGTCTCAAAAAAAAAAAAAAAGAGAAATCTGCTTGTTGGAGAAGCTGCATCCTGAGCTGTTTCTCTGGCAACAGATAGTTCTCCTGGGTCTGAAATGGGGTATGTGGGCGTTCATCCAACAGGCACCGCCATCTGCTGGGAAGCCATCGTAGCTCCCATCTATCAGGCCAGCACTAGGCTCAGGCCCTTTGCCAAGGGCTTTAGATCCTCTTAGTCGGCCCCATTTTACAGGTGAGGAAACTGAGGCTCAGAGGTCAGTTCTTTGCCCAAGATCTCACAGCCCTCCTCACAGGAGTGATTTTTCTGACTTTTCTGGCCCATGGTCTTAATGACCACATGTGGCTTTGCTGCTACCTTCCCAGGGTTTGTCATGGAGGGAGTGGTGGGGACCCCGGGCCCAGTGCCCACTTTCCAGGAGCTCTTGGTCAGTGAGAGAGGTGCCCAGAGGCTGTGCTTCTCCCAGAGGGATCGGAGAAGGCTGCATGGAGCAGGAAATATATGAGAAGATGGAAGCTAATTCCCCATCAGACCCCTCTGTTTCCCAGGATTTGATGAATGTTCCTGGTGTGCTGGGAGGAAGGGGAGGTGGGTAGAAAAGCCCCCAGCTCCTGGAGAAGGAGATACACTTTTCATTCAGCATCACAATGTGTCCTGAAGAACCAGCCTCAGTATTCTTCACAGATGTCTGGTGGTGGTCATTGATTTATCACTATCCTTATTCCTTGTAGATTCAGAAAGAACACCAAATGGAATATCATATTAAATCACATAAGACAGAAGAGTTAAAGCAATGTGTCTTTAAAAGCTGGTAGTGTGGAGGGGAGAATTGACTTGCAGCAAGTTTGAGGCTGTTGATTCTTTGTTGAACTTCCTAGCAGCCTAGGCAAAAAGGGAAACGAAGAATCTATGCAGATAGCCTCTAAAAAAGGAGGCAGGTCTTTGTTTTTTTTAATTTATTTTTTCTGACCAGTGGATTCATGTCACAAGGCATGCAAGTTTGATTTACAGACAACTCTTTTGGTTAAAAAAAAAAAAAAGGCCTCAGTGCTATACATTTTTGTGTGACTCAGGTCACACAATGCAGAAGGCGTGGTTATTTGCTTAAGGGGAGCTCCCAAAGCCTTTTTACAATAAGTATACAGTAGTGCTATTAGGTGCCCATCTCTTATTTTTTCAAGCCTCCCCAAGCCGTGGGGAGAAGGATGATCTTATCTGGATTTATTAATAAGTAAATAGGCTCAGAGAGGGTGAGGAACTTGTCCAAGGTCACACAGGATAGAGTGACAGCTTGGCTTTGCACTTTGATCTGGAAATCCAAAACCTGACTCTAGCTATGCTTCCTCATCTTGTTTATTTTGGGGGTGTGAAGTTCTAGAGTGCTTTGGAGGGGTAAAAGGGGGACTTCAGGAAGGGAGACTCATCAGGGGCCAAGGCCATCAGAGACGGCTTCCTGCCATAGGAAGGGAGAAGGAGGATCAGGACAGACCAGAGCTTGTACAGAGACCTGTCAGTCAGTAGGCGCCCTTGAGGCCCAGGACGTGGAAGCTGTGTGAATGCCCTATGGCAGTAAGGCCATTTGGTTTGGTACCTTCTGTCCTTCCATTTTGCCCCACCTCCTGGGATTGGGGGTGGCCACACAATTCCCACTTAGGTGAATAACAGATCAAAACTTCACCTAGCTGGGCAGGTGGCAGGGTGGCACCTGCCTGTAGTTCCAGTTACTTGGGAGGCTGAGGCAGAAAGATTGCTTGAGCCTCGGAGTTTGAGGCTGCAGTAAGACTTGATCACGTCACTGCACTCTAGCCTGGGTGACAGAGTAAGACCCCTGCTTTTTTTTTTTTTCCTCAAGACAAGGTCTTGCTCTGTCACCCAGGCTGGAGTGTAGTAGTGTGATCACAGCTCACTGCAACCTCAACCTCTCAGGCTCAGGCAATCCTGCCACCTCAGGCCTCCTAAGTATCTGGGACTACAGGTACATGCCACAATGCTTGGCTAAGTTTTTATATTTTTTGTAAATACGGGATTTCATCATGGTGCCCAGACTGGTCTATAAATACTGGGCTCCAGCAATCCATCTGCCTTGGCCTCCCAAAGTGCTCACAGGTGTGAGCCACTGCACCCAGCCCTCTACTCTTAACAACAACAACAACAACAACAACAAAAAAACAGAAGAGAAGGCTGAGGCAGGAGAATCGCTTGAACCCGGGAGGCAGAGCCCTTGCAGTGAGCCGAGATCACATCACTGCACTCCAGGCTGGGTGACAGAGCAAGATCTTGTCTCAAACAAAAAAAATGAAGAAAAAGAAAAAGAAAATTAGGTAAATAAAGGTATGAAAAAAATGGGCACAGCTTGCTGTGCGCTCATACAGAATATCCCTAGGTGTATTGCCGTGGGGGAAAAGCATGGCTTGGCGCAGGCACAGAGAGCACCCATCTGTGGTTAAGTGAGGATATGGGTTTTATGTAGAAATATGCATCCACTCACCCTGGAATGAGACACACGGCATGTGGTTGCCTGGGGTGAGGGCAGCTGTGGGGCGTGGTCAGTCAAGGATG